TGATGAAAAATTACCTTATAAAGAGCTATTATGTCCAGGATAATTATATACAATACACGTAGGTCAGACTATCATACACATGTCGCATAAATGAAAAATACACGTGTCTGTAATATTCATGCCACATTTTTTGTTCAATATACAACTATGTGTATATCATATGTGTGTGTAATGCTCTTTCTACTTATATTTTTAAATACTGTATGTTTATTAATGTAGGTAACATGACACACTTGTATCTTTGAAAGGTAAGAATTGATATCTTGGATTGAGCAAGTAATAGAAAGTACTGCTTGTTTTTGCCTAAAGCATATTGAATAATACTAATTACTAACTGCAAGCATGTAATGCTAACAATACGTATGTTATCAGAATGTGTGTAGGAACAATTGGGTAGGTTTTATAGATATAAGCATGATATGTTTTTGTTATTAAATTTTTAAAAAAAGGGGTGGTATAATTTCTTTAACTACCATTAAACTTACTGAAATAAAACCAGTATCTTACAATTGGGTAGGTTATATAGATATAAGCATGATATGTTTTTGTTATTAAATTTTTAAAAAAAGGGGTGGTATAATTTCTTTAACTACCATTAAACTTACTGAAATAAAACCAGTATCTTACTTGTATGACAGATGAAAATGTATTATTCTTTTCATTTTACATTTGTTCATATCCTTTCCTAGTCATTGAATAGCCAATTCATGTTTCTGAGGGATAAACCCCATATTGAAAAGGTTAACTTGGACTTAGTTTTGTCCATTCCTTTTCTCTGCTTACCTTTGGGTAAGTAGACTGATGTAGAAAATTCAATGGTCTCTAAGGGCAAAACAAGCTAATGTGGAAATCTCATAATTATATAGTTTTGTATGTTTAATGTGTATAAAGTTTTACAAACATGATTTGTGACAGAATGTTGTATAAAGTTTGAAATATATACATATATATTGGCGAATCATCACGTTGAAAGTATTTCATTCCTTAAAACAAGTTTTTTAATACCTTCTGACCAGAACTAAATTAACTGTATATATATATATATCAGGAGTTAAAAAGTAACTTATAAATTAACAAAGCCAATCCTGTATATCACATTATGAGTGTTTAATGTCATTAACCAATAAAGATAGAAAAACTAAAATCTATTGTGTGTAGAATGCTTTGAACCTACCACTTAGGTATTCTGTATGTTAACAGTATTAGCAACTGTTATCTTTATTACATCATCATCTTTTTCTGGTTTTCTTGTAAAATTGAGTTAGTATCAAGAATGAGGTTGCAAAATGATTTAAGACCATGTTTTCATTTGAAGGAATGCTATGGTATCAGTGTTTTCTTATTTTTGTGTCTGAAAAAATTACAGATTCAGGCACGTCTTGTTTTATGACTGAACTAAAATGTACGTTTATGTAGAGTGTAGAGTATGTGTAAAATTAAATGTGTGTGTGTGAGTATATGTGTGTGTGTTCATATATAAAGTACAATGTATATAAATTTTCTATCTTTAGTAAACAATTTTTTTTTAACCATCCTGCTCAAAAGCATGATTAAAACAATAGCATAAAAGATTAATTTGTTATCTAAATTCTTTAAAAAGATTATAAAGGAACAGTATTTTATGAGAGCATATAGTACATAAGTATAGAATTCATATCTGAATATTCTGTGATCTACAAATATGCTGACATTGTCATGTGATATATGTATCAAAACAAATTGAGACATTTTATGCTTGCAACACAATCAAACCAAGTTGTACTAGTACATTAATGTCTACCTTTGCATGTTTTGTGGTGCATACTAATAATGAAAAAGGCTAATGAGATTTTGGTATTTTAATCTGCATGTAAATGTAATGTGAAAATTTGTTGTGTGTTATATGTAATCTATATGAATATGCATTTTATTTTACTCGTATCTCTACAAATAAAGAATTATTTTGAGGTTTTGTGTTTGTGTTATTAAGATCAAGTACTAACATTCACATACAGTATGCGTGTGTCTGCTAAAAGGAGTGATTTTGATTTTGTTTTGTGCCTGTTTGTACCATTATGCACGTAGTGCAAATGAGGAGTTATCACCAGTGCACGAGTGTGTAACGAGACTGCAAGCTCAGCTGCAGAGAGGGTCTGTTAGTAGCTCTTCTCTTACTTCCTTAGAAGCTGTGAAATCCCATACAGAGAAGCTTCTAAACCTCATCAAAGGACAAGGTGAGAACTTGTCTGTGTAGCTATCTTTCTTACCCACATGTAGTGTAAGTAGTGTGTATAAAATAGCTTTAATAACAGTTTTGCATCATTAAATACCCTCATGTTTAACTTTTGGATAATTGCTTGGAATTAGATTGGCTTATCATATTATAGCTAACAAAACATTTTTTTACAAATTTAAAATTCTTGTTTTTGCCAGGGTGATAGTAATGCAGAAATGTAATATTGAGTCCAGCACATACAAGTACACCATGTATATTCTCTTGTAAAAAGTATAAGTTAAAAAATTACCTATAGGAGAATTAGTGATATTCTTATATATTTCAAACACACATTTGATGCATATGAGGAGAATACTGCCAATGAAGGGACAGATCTAAAGGCAACCTTAATTGATGAACAGTCATTTGTAGATATAGGACTTCTGGTCATTTCCTGGATTGACACACTTAACTGAATTATCTACATAAACTATTTTTATATAAGATCTGTACATGTTTACATAATTCTATGCATTACATTTTTAAGGCTATATATTTTTTAAGTAATTAAGTATAAAGTACATGCTTATTTTTCTGTTGATAAACCTTATGTAAGACATGCTTTTAATATATAAAGGAAACAATTTTGATCTATAAACCAGCTGTGAAAGAATTCAAAATATTAATCCTGTCAGAACATAGATTCATATGTTACTTGTCAAAGTGAGTTTCTGGCTCCTGCAATATGTTTTTATATAGTTCATTAGGTACAGGTTATCATACTGCATGTCACACTAATACATCTTTCTGTTTAGAGGAATTGTACATAAGTTTACATATAAATTTTCATTTCAAAAATATGCTACAACCCGACAGATATGTATAAAAAGTAAAAAAACTGGCAAAAAAATTAAAGTGAGCCTTGCATACTCTTTCAGTAGGAAGATGCTCAAAGGCAAAGTAGACTTTCAAAAGTTGAGTAAAAACTGCCTAACAAAGACTATCACTTTGCAAGATGCAGGTCTGTCCAGATCACCCAAAAATGGAAACAAAATGAAAGTGCTATGCCCATTATATTCTAGTCCTTAACTTCCATTTTTGGTTCATGGCCAGTATTGGGCATAGCAGCAACTCCAATGGTCTTGAAACATTTCAAGTGTTTTTACTGTACAAAGAAAAGTTGTCATGTAAAAGCATTTGATTTCAGATGTTTTAGTGCATAGGTAAAAGTTGTTATTAAGAAATGTCATCCCTTATATTTACATATCTCTTTCTTATATTGTATAGTAAGAACATTTGATTTCAGATGTATTATTTGTACAGGTGAAAGTTGTCATTAAAGAATTAATTTCCATTATTAACATGCACCCAATAATTTGTCTAGTAAAAAGGTTTGCAGTTTAATAGGGGGATTGTCATATCTACATGTAATATATATATTTAATGTCAACAGGCAATGGCATTTAAAAGCCTAAGACAGAGTGAATGATAAGTTTATTTTCTTTAGACAGTCTGGGAATCTTGAAGGTCTTTAATAAAGAATATCTGTCACTGCTCACATCATGCGTACACAAAGGCTTTACGCACTACTTAATTTATTGGGTGTGGGATCTAAGAGTGACTTAATGGTTTTCTATTTAGGACTTTGGCTTGTTCTGAAGAAATGTTTTTTTGGAATTTGAGGTGTTAAATATTACTTGTCTTTCATCCATTTTAGTGCTATTAAATTTGGCTCTGTAGCTGTTTCATTCATTCATGTAAATAATGAATTGCTCACTGAGTTATGATGTGTTATGAAATCAGAGGTTATAATATGACAGAAGTGACTATTAGTATTCATGCTTGTTGTTTGTCTGCTCAGAATATTTAGAGTAATGTATAAAAACAAAAGGGCTCACTATATTCTGTGTTTTAAACATATGTGTTGACTGTCCCTGGAGCATAATGGCCATTATTATTGTAATATTTTACGATTTCTTGCTAAATCTGAAAAAAGTCAAAGAACTAGATTAAGGACAAGAATGTGGAAATTTTATGTTTGTTTAATTATAGCCATAAATATAGACTGAAGTTACAAATGATATGCAATATTACTTTGAATTAAAAAGAAGTACACATTTAATATGATAAGCAAAATTGTCTACTGTGTAATTTGTTTTTTGATCATTTTGCTAATCATTTCTTACCAAAAATTAATATATTTTAGAGTATTGCTTGCTGAACAGTGCATATATTTAACACTAAGAGCATATGAATATGAAAGGGATATTAATTTTTACACTGGTTGTTATGTTATTTTTTATGGTGGGATTAACTTTTTCACAGACTGCCCATATTTGTTTTTCTTTTTTGAATTAATGGACTACTTATTTAAGTAGACACATACTATGGCAGTGGTTGTTTACATCATACTGATAGTCTTATCATCTTTGTTTATAAACTGCTTTAGTGGTGTCCTGGTAAGTTATTTATAGTTAGTGGATGTGAACAGTGGAGAAGGGTTCAAGCTCCCAGTTAGAGTGACAGTGAGCCCTCTTGATATTATACTTGCACAGAAATTAGGCATTAAAGAGTGCATGTAACATAAATCCCAGTAGTTTACAGATTCATAAGTTATCCTTTATTTTTTATTCACCTGTTCCATTTCACATACAGTGTAAAGCTATAATTGTTTCATCCTGTGCATCACTCTTTCCATGAAAACAGTAAGTCAGCTCTGCGCATGCATAATCAGTTAGTGAATGAGAGTGAAGTAAAATTTTCATGAGTTATTTTTGTACCACATTAAAAAATATAGTTTAAACATTTTGTAAAATAGATCTGATTTTGATCATTTGTTTAAGTTAACTTTTGTTTGTAAACAAAATTTTTATGCATTCAAACTGGGGAAATATTTAAATCATTAAGATGAAAATGGCATTATATTTGTAATTACATAGATTTACTCATTGATAAAAGTAATGAGGTATTACTTTTGACATTAAACTTTCTGCTACAACACCATTAATTGTTTTTATCAAAATAAATGAACATTATATAAACAATCATTATTTGTGTCAGAAGCAAAAATATTTTTTCTAAAAGTATGTTTTCCTATTTTAAAAAGTAATGTTTTAGCCACAATTTTCATAACTTAGAATAAAATTAATTCAACTAAAGTTGAAGAAATTCTGAAGCTAGTTATATTGTGTTAGGTATTGATTTATGAAAATTTTTATTATTTTTACCAGTAAATTTAGCGAAGGTGAGAATATTTAATTTTGAAAGCGCTCGAGTTTTGGGTTTTATTTTAAGTCTATTACACTTTATATGTGATCCTTTGTGCCAACTATTTTATCAAAATTAAGTAAGATTAAGGCATGCAAAGTATGAATTTGAAGAAAGAGTTTTCTTTTTTTGAATGTGAGTTATGAAAAAAAATATTTCTGTTTTTTTTATCTAGTTTGGACAAAAAACAAAACATTCTAGAAAACAGGACATTAATAAAATATATGAGAAAATGTAAAGTTCACATCTGAGGTTGTTTTTGTTGCAGGATAACTTTGTTATTTTGAAATATTATATTGTAATTGCTTAAATAGAACTGTAAAAAATTGCTTTAAAAACTGTTTTGGTGCTTTTTTTCTTTATAAGTAGTAGAAGCAGTCAGACACCTGGCATATAGACAACTGGTAATTAGTGACCTTGAATTTTGCTTTACCATTGTCAGTTACTTTTAATATATTAAGTAGGAACTGGCTGCCTTCCCAAGAACATTTACAGTATTACAGAATTTAGCAGCATTGCACTGACATGAAAACAATTGTCAGGTGCTAACAGTGGGTAATATTTGCATCATTTTACATGTAATAAAGGTGTTTCAAGAACTTAACAAATTTTAACTTGTTGCCTAAGTAGCATTTGAGTCATAAAATATTCTTGTGCATTTAGATTTAACTACAGTTTTTTGCAGGTTCTGTTGTATTGCCAAAAATGTTTTCACCAATTGTTCCTTTGTAAAAGGTACAAGATTTTAATGTCAGGGAATGAAATTCTTGTTTTACATAAAGTCAGAGGTTACAAAGTTTTAAATATGTAAAAAAAGAATTCAGCTTACACTGCAGCAGTTAAAAATTGTTCTTCTTCAAAGCATTAGCTTGGAAAACTCAGTTACTACATTTGCAACCATGATGAGGGAATACACAAGTGATGATGTTATAGACATGTGCATTGATTTATTTTGACAGGAAATATGTTTAAAAATGAAAAAAAAACATAAGAAAAATTGCTGATAAAATAAAATTCTGGGTATATTTTACTTTATTTATGAACTTAATTTCTTAAATATTTTTTTCTTTAATTTCATATATCTTTATATTGAATTATTAATTTTTTTTATTATATTGTTTTATTTATGACATTTTTATTTAATTATTTTTTACTCAACTTATAAGTAATAGAAATACAATACCTAATATTTTATAACTTACTTGTAGAAGTATTGTTCCTAGCCATTGTACTATTGTTATTTGAACATATATTTGTACACACAAACATTTGTAAAGTAATTCTTGCAATATATTTTACATTTGTGTTTAAATAATACTCAGTTTCTGATGCATTGTATCTTCTTTGAAAAAAATGTATGACAGTTTTTGTGTGTGTTGCTAAAAGAATCCATAAAGAGCTTAATAAAACCAACATTATGAAGAGAAAAATTCATATTAAAGAAAACAACTAAAAGACGTTATTACATCTATAAGTATACCTTTTTTTAATATGCATTTCTGGAACACTTGTTATTAGAGAAGACCAAGAGGGCTTTTATTTCTTTATCATGTGGAGTCATTCCTGTGCTAACAAGTATCCTACAGGTGAGAATATTTAACTTACTGTTGTCTGATATGTTTTACTTCATTTAATTTTGTGTAAAGTTTAGAGTGGACCAGGTGTAATATAGTATGTAACATGTTGGACTATAAATCTGAAGGTCCATCACTGGTTTTTTGTTGCCACAAAATTATGATCTTCATTTCTGTGTGTACTTTATAAGAGTGAAAGTCAGTTTTCATTATTTGACATTGGTAGTCCAAGAGTTAGCATTGGGTGCTGTCAAGGCAGTAGCTAGTTATGAGGTCACCAAGATCCAAACCTTGGTAAAATTTGAAATTAAATACAACATACTATTTAATTTTACTCTAAAATACTGTAGAATGACCCATATGTAAAAGGTATACAATATGTAAGGCTGATCTTATGTGCTTGTCGGTGTTTGGTGCTTGGGTAAATTTTCAATCTAGCCACAGCCATTGATTCTGTTTACTTGTTGCTTTCTTGTCTGATAACTCAAAATCAGGGATAGGTAGCACAGATAGTCTATGAATAATCTGGTCAAATATCTAATCAAACAAGTCTACAGTATTACAGAAGTTTCTAAACAATTGAAAACTAAACATGAGATGGGTGTGTATGAACATGTACTTCACTGTAAGAGCTCAGTTAACTAAATATGTGCTTGAACAGAGCCAGATTACCAGTTTTATAAAACAGTAACTGCATATTGTTTGATGAAGAATAATATACATTTAACCATGACATTTTATAATGAGTTTATGCAAAATAATCTGTTCATGGCTGGTTTAATGCTAAAGATCAAGTAATATATGTACTATTGGGTACCTGTAAAAACGTTTTACTTTTAATTCCAAGGAATGAAAAATAAAAGTTGGTGTTACTGTTTTCTAAACAGAGGTTTAAGCTTATAGCTTGTTTTAAGTATATGTATTTACCATGTTGGGTTTCACTCTTGTTTTTTTGTATGTATTTGTTTTCCTTCCTATTCACATTATTGTTGTATTTTACAGTTAAAATTAAAGGTAAAAACAAGTAACATTTTTGCTTCTTGCTTAAAGTGTGTTTAACTAGACCTTAGTAATATCTTGCACTACCTAAAAGATGGAGAAATAACTTATCCACCATTTATATTACACAGCATGTATTTCAATTTAGAAAATGCAAAGACAGTAGAAAATGGATAGTTAATTAGCTGGCTAGATAACTTTATATATGAGTATATTAATGTGCTTATACATAGAATGGGTAATGGGTAAACAAATAGGTGAATAAAACAATATGTCTTTCCAATTTCTTTCGAGCTGTGACACTCTGAGAACTACTGACATAAGCATCCTTTTCCTTATGTAATTTAAAGAAAAAACTGTGACTTTCAAGTTTTATGAAGGCCATCACTTAGAAGAGTGGTTGCATTTTGGTCTATTTTTAACTGTCAAAAGGTCTGTGCACATTCAGCAGAACAGATCTTCCAAGAATTGGGATGGAGATTTGTGTGCAAAAAAAAAAAAAGACATCATTTGGCAATAGTCCAAAACAAAAAATGTTATATTTAAAAACAGAAGTTGGTAACAGCTGTTATGGTGATTTTGTTTTGTGTCTGCTTGTGGGATATATTTCATGTGTGTGTGTAAAAAAATGATTACTATCTACAGAAATGCACATAAATGTTTTTAAAAGAAAAACTGCGGTTATATCTAAGATAACCTAAGTAACAGGCTTTATTTCTAGGTGGAAGTACTACAGACTTTGTGTTTAATAATTATAATAGTGCTGTCAAAAGGATTTTATACTTAATATCAAATATTGGTAATATTGAAGAAATTAATTTACAAACTAAATAAGAATTATTAGAAGTGATTTAATTACATAATTTTTTTATTTTATATATTCATATACAGGGTGGGCCATAGTGAATTTAAGAAAATGAAACTAAAAGTAGCAGGATAAATCTTCCCTCATGATTTTGCTGTGTTTGCACAATATCTAAATTAGACTAATGTTTTGAGTTTCTAGGACATCTGTAACTATTACACAATAATAATAATAATGCACATATTAATGCAAATAAATCTTAATCAACGGAGATGCAAAACTGTATGATAAGATAATTAAATTACTTACTATATAAAACGATAATTCTTGCCTTAAATGTATCACCATATGATCTAACTCACTGCACTTGACAAGACAGAAAAATATTTGTCTGTTTAAAAAATAAAGAATTACAATTGTGTGACCTGTTGATATTAATTGTATTGCAGTATTCAAGAGGTCATACATGTAACAATAAGGATGCACTTTGTATATATATATGGCCTTAAAAATCATACACACGTGCAGGTATGTATATCCATGTGTATGCATTTTAAACAAAAATTAAGTTGATGGACCCAATTATATATAATCCTGTTGTGGGGTTGTTGAAAGATGTCAGAGGTCAATTAAAGGTGACTTTTTTGTGTAACAGTGATTATGTAAATTGTAATGACCATCATGAAAGAGTGAAATCATCCAGAATATGTAAGGTTCCTGCCTAAAGAAAAGAAGGAAATCAGAGACATTGAGATTTAAGATATATTGCTCAAAAGAAGGGATTGCACAATTTTGTATAGAAAGTGTCAATTAATATTTCTTTAAAATATAAGGATTGCCATAAACAACTAATTTCCTTAATTATTATTCTGATTGGCCTATACATGTGCATGTCAATTGCAAAGTATCCTTTGCTCGTAGGTTTTTATTACAAGAGTAAATTTAGTGATATGCATTTTTTTATAGCTAGTCAGTTACATTGAGTGCAATACAAGGGAATTATATTATACCAGCATCATTTTAGTTGTGTATTCTGCTTGGAATTTCAGCAAACTCAAGATCATCTCGTTGTACAAAATATTGTTTTGCTGTTCCATGAGGTTCTTTCTTCCAAAACTGGTAAGTTTTAATTCATTCTGCTGTATGCATACACAGAAGTAGTTTGAATTTTGTTTATCCAGTAATTCCCATAATTTTCCTGTTAAACTTCAGTTTTAATACATCCATAACAGTTATGTTAATTTCCTTGTAACAACATCCTCATAAAAAATGTATTGTCATAAAAGCTACTCTACTTCCCAATTGATAATGGTGATATTTTTCATCGGATATGTTTTTTCATAAAGTATGTTAAAATTTGTAAGGATGAACATGTTTTACAATAAGAAATAAGATACTAAGTATATGATAATGATATTCATAAATTGCTTATGGTGATCAGAAATTCATGCATCAACTGTAGGGTTAGCATTATTAGAAAAAACAAACAAACTACAAATAGAATTCCCAAACCAAAGGTTTTGATAAGTTAAAAATTCTCCATTGTGTTTTTTTAAGAATAGGTCTGGTATATTTGTGAATAATTGCCCATGTAAAACATTTGTTTTTGTTAATAGGACGAGTAGATGTTGCCATCACTCTTGTATCCCATGACACCATTCGACTTTTGCTGGAAATACTGGGATCTTACAAAGGAAAAGATGTTGTGGATGATGACCACTTACTCATCTTATATGGTGTCTTAGCAAAGATTGGTCATTATGGTAGGAGAACTATTCAAGAAAGATGACACTGTATTGGTTTGGGGTCTTTAATGTGTGATTAAAAAGAGTCAAAGTTTCCTTTTTTTTGTAATACCCGAGGTGATTCCATTGAAAATTTGTCATTGATTAATGTAATCATAGAAAAAAAAAGTAACTTTCAAAAAAGCTTAGGATGAAAGCATTTTACTTCTAGCATTCTCTTTGCAATTCCACATAAGTCTCTGTGGGTTAGATTTAAACCTTAAACATAAATCTGTTCCACAAGTTTGACTATTGAAATCTTAAAACATTTAACCACTAAACACAAAATAATGGAATCACTATACCATTCTTTTATGGTAATTTATTTTGTTCCATCTGCATTACAAGGAATAAATTGTGACTCATTTTCTAAGTTTGCTAAAAGATAAGCTGGAGTTTATATATAGGATCAGAAGGACCTCATTTTATTAAATGGGTGATATCAGTAGCGTGCAGAGGGGGGCGAAAGGTTCCGGGGCCCCGGGCATCCATATCGAGAGGGCATCCAACGCAAAGAGTTGAATCGAATAGTAGAACCCTTTCTGCCCTTCTCCAAGGTCTTAGGTACAAGGCCCTGGGCATCATAGAACCTCTGCACGCCACTGGGTGATATCTAAGAGTGAAAAAAGATTGGTCAGTGATGAAATGATATCTGAATAAGTAATATTAAATCAAAGTTTGATGTGTTTTATAAATTAGTTAGAAAAGGATGTATAACAAGGTTGAACTTGGTTTCTAAATTTACATTTTGTGATGAGTATTGCTTGTGAGAGCCATATCAGTAATGCTTAAAATTTTATACACATTATCAGAATTTGGAGTACTAACTTCTCAATTGTCTAACAATTTTCTGATGATGTTACCAAAGTAAATAATGATGTTTTACTTGCTTATTTTGAAGTGTCAGGACTCAATGCTTTTACCCTTTCAATTAGTGTATCCATTTAGATGTCAGAAAAGAACTTGGAAGTAACCAGCATATAGAAAAAAATTATTGTATCCATTATATTGAATGATTTCATATTGGAACTGAAAAAAAATGTTAATATAATAAAATGATCTTATCACATTGTCTTCCTAAACAGCTGTCCAAATCTTTAACCCTGTATGTATGGGTGTAGGTCAAAGTGTGCATGTCATGACATTTTAGAATTACGTTCAAAATCTGATTAAGTAACTATGTGTCAATAAACATGGCATCAAATTGTAGTTAATAAATCAAATTTTAATATAACATAAATCTTAATTTCAAAAGGAAATATTTAATTAAGTTCCCAATATTTACTTTTATGTAATGCAACGTACTTGCAATGTTTACTAAAATAAAAGATCACCAAGTTTTTGTGAAGATACATTAAGTATACTCAGAAATATAGAATTTATGGCAGCCATTAATTCTCCAATAAGGGATCGGTCAGATCCCGTTAAGTTTGTGGAAGATTAGAAAAGTAAGGCATATTTAATACAGTAGCCCCTGTAGGAGATACACATATTTAATGTATTAATAATAGTCTGGTTAGCTTATTTATTGTAATTCCATGTATCCTTATGGTGCTGCAGTTGATATTTACTTTCTGCTGTTTTCTACATCATATAATAAAATTAATTGTATTATAGTAAAAAATCTGAATACATTTTTTTTCTTCCAATAGCATAAATATTTATGATTATGAGCACAAAGTATAATCTAATTCAATAAGGTAAAAGGATGCCAAGCTCCACTCTTCACTTGACACTAATTAAGACAGTATTCTCACCAGCCAGTCCTGTTATGAACAAGCCTTGACTCGTTGAGCATTTTGTCAGTTTAGCATAATTTCTGATGCAGTTATATCTAATTGAAGCAATTTTTTATTACACTGTTTTTTTCTTGTGCGACTCTACTAAGTACAAATGTTTTGGTTTATTTAGTGATATTTACTGGTAAGAATGATGTAAATATACATGTGCAAGATATGTATGAATAGGTAATAGCTCAGAAAAAGCTGGGAAAAAATTATCACCATTTCTCATGCAAATGTAAAATTCATATTTGATAACAGATTGCAAAACTGTCTACAATATATAGTTCTTATATATGTAGTATTAATTTCTTATAAGCTTTAAAAACATTTATATGTTAAAAGAGTTAATTTCATTTTGAATATTATTATGTAATTATTACTTATCATTACAAATGATTTACTATCTTGATAATCTTGTCTTCAAAAGCAAGTAAAAAAAAAGATGATTCATCTACACATTTTTCTTTTAATTTAAAATCTTTTATTGACTTTTTTTTTTCAGACAAAAAGTTTGGAGTGAAAGTTCGGCTTTCAAATGTTTTGAAATTAACAGTCAATTTCATGAGAACTTACAAAAAGAAAACAAAATGCCTACAGAATGTTCTTTCATTTTTGAGTTTAGCTATGAAGAACAGTAAGTATTTCCTTGCTACATTCAAACTTGTGTTTCAAAATAACATCTATGCTATGTTGTGTAAACTTGCTTACCATAGTTTTTGTATTCAAAATTTAGAAATATATTGAGTTTTAGAAGTATGTTCAGTTTTATTTTTTTATTCACATAGTTGTATTTGTTTCTTTAAAAATGTTATTTCAGTGTTGGTCATTTCTATGTAAAAGTTCCTCTCGTGTTCAAATTTGACTTGAATTTTAATGATATCATATGGTTTAATGTTGTAGATTTTGGTACAAGTATTCTTGTAAAGCATATTGATTTTAAATTGATTGAAGGGTCCATAAGCAGATTATGTTGACTTTACAATGAAAATATTTCTTACTCACCTACAGTTTTACAAGTTATAACATCGCTTTGTGCTTATGATGTTTTTGATGTATTTATGTATAAAGAATATTGTTTTTTAGCTACTAATGCATGCCTGCTGGGAAAGGAAGGCCTGATACCCCTTCTTCTCTCTTTAATTGGAGGGTTTAAAAGAAAACCATCTTTAACCAACTCTTATGCAATGGAAGCCCTTGCTGGTGCTACAAGATCTAGTAGGTCACATTTTATAGAAGTACGAAATAAATAGCCAATATTGTATTACTGTAGATAGTAATTACAGTGGTCATTGCAGTTTGAATATATGTTTTTTATTTTGTAATTATGACATTGCCAAAGAAGATTCTAACTGTGACCTAAATAAAGTTTATACTGAAAAGAATCTGTAGTTTAGCTTTTATCCTGTATATTTAGCAAATTCTTATTTATGTGATTGAAAATTTGAATTTCAAACTACATTATTTTGATTGTGGATTTTTTTATTAATTTAAAAAATGTATTAAAGTTGATTAATTTTCATGCTCTTAGATTTTTTGGGGTCTGTATTATTAAGCAAACTTCAATGATCACTCAAAGGTTAATTGAGCTTTACCTCAATATACTACAGAGTGGATAGAAAAGAGGGAAATTTGGTGCTGTAATAACAGAATATTGTATTGTGGAGTTTACTATATTTGCTTTATTTCTACTTTTGTGTGATATATGTTTAAAATGGCTTTATAGTTAAGGAAATGCCATTTCCTTGAAGGACTTACAACCAAGAGGAATAGTTGGTCACCAAGGGGAGATGGTTTTCTGAGAGAGTTGATTGGTCTAACAGAAGTCTTGTTTATGTTGGACTTTTGTCAGTGCTGTGAAGGTCCATGACTTCTATCTTGCTATAAATAACTGGCAACTTAGAAAGAACAGCTGTCCATATCTGGTGCATCTAGATTGATCAGTTGAGTTTTTCCCCTGAGGTTTGACCTCACTGCAAGGGATACATAGGCAGATGAGGATCGTTGAAGTGGTGTGCTGTCTTTTGAGTCTGAGACTGGATGGGGCAGACTGTACATAACCCCAAGTCTTAGCCTGGTTGAAGTCACTTTAGAACATTGTAGAGAAACTGCAGGTGTGGTGAATGATGTCCACGAACGAGATCTACATCAACTGGCAAAGTGAGTCAATTGTGGGGCAGTGGTGAGCTTCCCTAAGACAGGGGGTATACTACCAGAAAAGCTATGAATATTAGAGTAGTCTGGGGTTGAACAGAAATGATGCACCAAATGCCAAGTACATTTTGTCATTCTGCCACCTTAGATGCTCTGCCACTGATGCTCAACAGAATGTTGTAGTCTCTGAGACCCCCTACTATGCTGTGCCCACAAGGTTGAAGACAGTTCAGTTAATGATTGGGAAGTCATGAAGAAGAGCATCTGGCAATATGGTGTGGTAACTTAGAGCTGGTCACAAGATAGGAAGAAGCCTGTAGCACCAGCTGTTGTGACTTTGTCTCAGAAAGACTGTCCTACTCAGTCACCCATGTCATGCCAGTTTTGAACCTAGCTGATGGCATTGTGATTAAACCATTATTTTGATCCAGTGAACAGGCAGGGCTATCCCAGTTCTCCCATTGTTTATATGTTGCAACCTATGCCCCTGATGCCTCCAGCAGAACATCAGCCTGGAAAGGAGGAATGAAGCATATGAAACCTTGGGTCACTTTCAAGTGAACTGCTCAGACCTGGCCAAAAAGCAAAGTGGACAGTGCTATTAGTTTCAACTGACAGAGTAACAATTACAGAAGAGCCAACAGCAGGAAGAGAATATTGCTGCTACAACTCCTGGAAATGAGAAGATCTAAAGTTGGTCCTGGCTACTAATTGAGGGAATGCAATGAAAAACGTACATCAAATGGTGTGGTGGTTAGTCCAGCTTTTTCAGGATTGGTTGGGTGTTGGTATGTACCTGTTGGATTATAAGGGCAAGAGATAGAGTTCCTTGTTGACATAAGAGTGACTAGAAAACTAGTAGATCTTGCTGTATATCAGGCACTCTAAGTAAAACCATCACCCTGTTTGTTCAACATGAACTTTGCTCTGGTAAATGGAGAGATCATTCTCTAACAATCTCTAGGAGGTTTTGCTTATAGAATGAAGGTAGTTGTTGTTGACCTAGGTTATTAATATCCTTGGAATGGATGTACTGCAGAGGTTATTGGTTAGTTTCACCTCTGCAACAGGTGAACTGATGCTCCATGGTAGAGTTATCTGATGCCTACCAGATCAACCCCCAAAACAGTGGATTACTGAGTGTATGTGGAAGAGGAAGTCACAGTACCCTCTTGTACTCAAATGGTGTTCTTTGATTTACTATGAACAATGTGTAATGTGATGGTGTCATATTATAAGTCTATAGAGTCCAAAATTAAATAGGCTGTTTCCTGTCCAGAAAATATGCTGCATTACCTCAAGTAGCTATCTGCTACAATTATCTGTTCTACAATTATGGTTGACCTGTTTTCCAGCTACACACTTAACATGATAAATGAAGTGGATGTAATCAATTTTAGCAGTAACATTAGGATTGCATCTGTTGCTCCATATCTGATGGTAAATACAGGAATATCAACATATCTGAGCACACTAGTTATGCATTATGCAGACATTCTAGACTCAGTACAGCAGCACCAACTCAGTGAATTGTTGGTAGAATATGCTGATGTATTTATAGAAACAAATGACTGATTGGTTATAAAACAGTCATGCAACATCACACAGATACAGAAGAAGACAACTGCTGTACTGGCATCCCTGCAGCACTAGGGAGATAGCCAGCATGAAGTACAGTGGATGTTAAAGGATAGAATCATACAGTCTTCAGAGAGTGCTTGGTCATCTCCAGTAGTGATTGTCAGGAAGAAAGATGGTATGCCCAGGTTCTGCATTGATTTTAGATTGGTGAACATGGTTATTTGTATTGGCATCTTTACATTAAATTATATTTTGTTTGTTTTTAATATTGTATTTGAGATGTGTGTTTATATATATATACATATAGTCGGATGTTGGTGTACTTTGGTGACAGATTTTCTTGTAGGCAGATTTTGTTAAACAAGACCGATGTCTGTAGGTTTCCTTTCTTCATAGAATTCTTCTCAAGAAGTCGATAAGCCGTCTTAATGTTGTTAGAACAACGGGTAAACGTTGTAGCTAGTGATGAGTTGGCCGACACGTTTCGAATGCATTCTGCATCCATTATCAAGGCTGAATGTTGTGTGAATTATGATTACTGTTGGTGGATATTTATAGGTATGGGTAAGCAGGTGGTGGTATCTAGCTCGTGAAAGGCGTTAATT